AAAGAATTGGTCCTAGTATAGATCCTTGAGGCACACCAGACTTTATCAGAGCTGGGTTGGATAGGGATGATGCAATTTGTACTACTTGGTAACGATCATTTAGATACGATTTAAACCATTTTAAAGCTATTGGAGTAATGCCATATTGTTCTAATTTTTGCAGTAGCAATCTATGATCGACCAGGTCAAACGCTTTAAAGTTTTAACAACAACTGCCAAGTTCACAAATGCCCGTCCAAAAGACGGGTCGGCGGGCCTCTGGCTAAGACCATGTTTCCAGCTTCTTGTGATTTTCCATCCCAGATGCGCAAGCCCTTTAAAGCCTGGCGCACACGATGCGATTTTAGTCGGCCGATAAAAATCGTTTGACTAAAACTAACAAAATCGTTGTGTGTGCGGTGTCATTTTTAACCGATTTTTGTTGCTCGATTTTAATCGGACATCATCAAAACGTTTTGATATTATACGATTTTTATCGGTGGAATTTTAAGTATAACCAATCAGATTTCATGCTGTGATCACGTTCTTGTATTTATTTGACAACATGGCGGCTACATTTCAGGGAGCATATTTTTTTCGTAAGCGTGTGCGGAGTATACCGATGTATATCGGTATGTCAAACGATTTTATCGGTCGACTAAAATCACATCGTGTGCGCCAGGCTTAAGTTCAGTTTTTAACTTTTTAGTTTGTTTTGTTGGCTTCTTTGCCTGTACTATAAATAATTAAGAGGCACTGGACTGTGATAGTTGACTCAGTTTTTTTTCGTTGGGATATACGTCGGCATACGCAAGCAAAGTGCCAAAGAAGCAATGATTACACATTAGAGTTATCGGTTTTACAGTACAGAGTTACATTCGGTTATATTATCATCTGTTTATTATTCCTTGATCTTATTATATATCAAATTAGTTCACTTGCATGAACTGTATTTGCGTTAGCTTGCTATTGTAACAATATTTTGCGCTCTTTCTGTTTTGCCTTGCACAATGTTCGTGACCTATACATGTTATAATCTACTCAATTTATCCATAATATATTAAAAATGTATTAAAAATCTGATCTTGTATAGAGATATTTGGCTGCAAACTGTGAGACTTCATCAGCTACCAAAATATTCCACCCATATACTTAAAATTTTCACTGTTTTTTTGTATTTTACGTATTACGTGACGTTTATTAATTCTCAAAATTATGTTTCAAATCTCAGCCCAAAACGCATGAAATGGCATTTCAGAGACTCTAGATATAAAATTTCCCGGGTGGGATGCCCCTGGACACTGTACGAGGTCTCGCGCTATCGGCGATCGAGTGCCCTTTTCAAGATTCTGCCCCCAACGCTTGTCAGTAAGTAGTATACAAAATATGGGTTCTGCGTCGAGTGGAGCGGGCGGAGCACTAGAGCTCCACCCATTACGTCATCAGTATATCATATCATACCAATTACACGCTTGTAATGTATTTAAAGAGTGAGTGTCAACCACAATCCAGTGCGCGCTCGTGTTTGTTTATATGCGAGTTAAGCCTGCATAACAGGCAGTATCGGCGGGCACGAAAGGCAGACGGATGATAATGATAAGAGTCACACTTTTCCTCGACTTTTGCTGTTGTACTTATTAAAAATGTCAGATGAATCGTCAGATCCAGACTTAGCAGAAGAGCGGTATGATCCAGAGGACAATTTAAATGCTTACGGCTCACCTGTTTTCCGACCTCCAGATGATATTAATATTAATGAGATTGTCGAGCAATCAGTTATTGGCATTGTTCATCCCACAGACTCGCTGTGGGTCTTTTCAGAGAACCCGAAAAGATCTTTCTTCATAAGCCAACCGTTAAATGTGTCCGTCCGTAACCTTATTCGCGTTGTTTGTATCCCATAACTGGGTCGGCCACGCTTCGGAGCTTTACCGCTCATAGAAGCTACTTTGTATATTCGAGAAATATAGCAAAATATACGTTTTTATAAAAAATATCCGCGCAAGTCATTCGATTCAGATACCTCCTTTTCAAAATTACAAAAAATTAATAATTTATAAGAAGGATCGGAGAAATACTTCACGGATTAACTCCAACAATGATTATGCGGCCCAAAAAATGGCCGCAGGCAAAGAACACAAGCGCGCACTGGATTGTGGTTGACACTCACTCTTTAAAGAATGTGGTGGACCGATGATTACTAGCGTTCTAAGAAAATTTTTACGGTTTGATACTTTGCTAATATATTTATCTCCACATATATTCCTTCTAACAAACTTAACACATTCTCGATATATATTCTACTAAAGTTATTGTAATGCTTGTGGGACGTATACATTGTACGCATGCGCAGTGAGAATTGCGTATTACGAAAATTCCTGACTTATAGGAGTTTGCAAAATTCCGGGGGGAATTCTGCAGAGAATATCCCAGTTTAATTCAAAATTCTCCAAAATCATAAAGACAATAGAAATAGAGAGTATAAAAGGTGTACTTGAATTCATTGTATTACAAGGTTTTATTAGATTATCTTAGAGTGTCCACTAGTTTAACACCATCCTTGGTCTTACCTGGGGATGTATTCACCATGTTTAGGACTGTTAAACAAGGAATAATAAAATCTAGACATACATATGAAAACACAACAATAATGAGGTTTACGAACGACTCTTATTACAAAAAACATTTAAATTGTTGTGCGTAATTTAAATGAAATCAAACACATTATGCTCTAAGAAGTAGACCACATTAACTTTGTAAACGTCTCGAAGAAATAAATGTATTTTAAGATTGAATTCTTGTGTAAACTTTTGGCTGCAAAGCGCTCCTGCATTGTCTGAATTGCTTTCTCTCTTCCAATATAAACCTCATTATTGTTGTGTTTCCAACCCGCACGGATAACCCGCGACGCCCGCTCAATGAATATCCTAATCTACCCGTATGTATCTACACAGTAGAAAATGCAAAGCTCTGATAAAAAGTTAATCAGCCCGGGTACCCGAGCTGGCTCGCATCCCCGAGATGAATTTCACCACGCGTTTACATGAAACTTACATGAAGGGCTGGCCCTTCTTGTTCTAATATATTTTGCGTAAACAACTCCTTATATGGAAGTTGGTTCCTTATGTGGGAGTTGTTTGTGCATTCTGAATTATTCTAATTATTTGCGCAGGCGTATCTGCTAAATTTCCAGCCCAACTAGGAGGGCTAGGCCTCCCTGTTGTGTTTATATATATGGAAAACTACCCAGCCCGTTTAACCGAGGTCTCGGGTCACACGAAGCGGGCCCTCGGTTAGGCGGGCCAGCTCGGTTCTCATATAAACGCAACACGATATTTAGTAGGAAATATTAACAAAGACGGGATCCCGTCTAAAGCGAACTAGCTCGGGTACCCGAGCTGGCTCGCCTCATATAAACAACCCCTTAGAAGGAATATATGTGGAGATAAATATATTAGCAAAGTATTAAACCGTAAAAATTTTCTTAAAACGCTAGTAATCATCGGTCCATCACATTCTTTAAATACATTACAAGCATGTAATTGCTATGATATGATATACTGATGACGTAATGGGTGCTCCACCCGACGCAGAACCCCTATTTTGTATACTACTTCAGTCCTTCCGGCGCCCCTGAGAATCACCTTTCATATTTTGAAGCAATTACTTTGCATGACCTAGCTCTAATAAACCTGTAAATCAAATATCCTGGTTCACTTTTTGTTTAGTCCCAAGCTGTCCTCGAAATGTCGCAGTGATTGTTGAAGACAATGTTCTTGAAGTGTGGTGGCTGGCACCAGAATATCCATATGGTGAAATTAAACATTACATAATGTCATGGATGAGAAGTAATGGAGACGAAAATTATAGGAAGAAAAATACAACCTCAAGTCCTTGTAGGATAGAAAATTTAGGCAAGTATTTTCAAATACTTAAAACTTACTATTATGCTTGCCCATTGTAAACAAAACATCATAGTTAAAATATTAGCCCAAGTTTAAAAAAGCGAAGCAGAATTTCGTAAGAAGCCAAGTTAATAACTGCAAATTCGATGTCTGAATCCAAACTTCACTGTGCATTTCCAACAATGTAAGTCCCATTTTATTTGTATAGAGGTTCAATTCATTCAAATCGAAATTGAAATAAATTATCTTATTTTATCTTGAAAAAAACTGGCATGCATAAATTTGCAAAATTGGCCCCCATCCATTCAAATGGGGGTAACTGCTGGAGTATTCTTGGCTTCAATTTTACTAAAAGAGATGCGCTATCTAGTTTATATAAAATATCTAAGGTCCCCGCACGTAATATGATATCAATTTAAGGTATATACCAGAAAAGTTTAAGTTTTAAAGTTTTTTTCCTGCAAAGCATTGGTGCGTATAATATCGCAAAACATTGGTGGCAATAGATAAAAACTGCTTCAGGTATTGTGACGCGGTATATATAAGTAGATGTACGCGAGGTTCGGACTCTTCACTCTCTTCTCTGGATCATGGATTAGACTGAGGCAGTGAAAAGTTAAAAATGTGAGTGAAACCGGTATTTCAACAAGATCTTTATTGGTCGTTTTTATCGTTTGCGTAAGGCATGTTTTATACGTCGAATTTTGGTCGCGTCGAATGCAATTAAGACAATAGATAATGAAATGATAACCCTCATTAAACATCATTATCTGTTGTTCAACGCGACCGAAATTCGAAGTATAAAACAGGCCTAAACGATTGTAAATGAAAGAGTCATTGTTCGAGCAATAGCCATAGGCGGCTCATTAAATGTTGTTAGTTTACATAACTACTGCAGTAAAAAATGTTAAGGAAAGGCAGAACATCTCAAATTAGCGAATTGTAGATTACCACACTGACACTGACCTGAAAGATCAAGTGTCTTAAAATTCCTAATTTTCTGTTTTCTTCGTCGTCGTAAAATCGAGTTTGCGTTCGCGCATCGCAGGCTCAGGGTGCAACGATTAAGCCAAATTGCCATCGATTCTTCGATTACTCGATTTGTAATATAATAGTAACAAGCTCGTATTTATGTACGTAATAGCCGGCTTATGCCATGCTTGTGGTACATTTTTTTGTTTATTGGCCCATACACTTGTACACACGCGCACAATTCTGAACCCCAAGGTCCAGTTTCAAAATGGCGGCTTTTCACTGAGTGATCAAAATATATTTCACACACTTTCGTTGAATTTTCAAAGAATTGTGCCAGTTTCCTATGGATTTTCCTACGTTGTGTCGCACTCTGGAATTTCTTGCGTGTTGAATTAATGTTTTCTTTTCGTATTGAACGCCTCGAAAACCCCAAAATTTGGACCCAGCGAATTTATACAATATAGTGGAATACAAACAAGGACAAGTTAAAGGTTTGACAGTTTGACTACACAACGTAGTTTTAATTAAACAAAATCTCCTAATTTCTTGCGATAGTTTTAGGCAAATGTCGACAATATATCTTTAAATTAATACATGTATTAAAATTCGCGTAGTACTAGAATTCGCGGTGCGCACATTTTAGTACTGCGCGAAATATAATCCGCGCGAAAATCTTTCTGGTAGCTATAGTAAAGATAAAGCGCGCGTTCAAAATAATAACAAGAACTAAACCATTTATTGTATGATTTTCATTTGCCTAATAGTAACATTAGTTCGACGCAAATTTTAATACAAGTAAGGTATGGTATAATATCTCATAATATAACGAACAATGTGCTGTGATTTGCATGTCACGTCACATCCGGTTCCATAGCTATAAATAGTTCATGTAATAATGTTCAAGGTTGTTATTGAATATAGTTTTTTGTACTTTTGTTTGTGTGACTTTTGGTCACTTTATCCGCCTAAATATTGAACCCAAACCTACAATATGGTGTCAGGTGTGTTTGGAAAACACTAGCTTTGATTAGTGACAAAGTTTATTACACCAGGCCGGTGTTATTGTCGCTAAATCTGTGCTAAATTAGTTCGTCGAAATCCAAGATGGCGGGTCTTTCTGGTTTGCCGATACCAAGCATGGACTGGCATTCGCCTGATGCAGCTCAAGCATTTAAGAAATTCAAACCCGATGTCAGTTATACTTCAATGGTCCGTTAAAAGAAAAAAAATTTCAAGGCATGTGGTAAGGAAAATCATTGGAAAAGAGTGTGTCGTTCGAAGGTAACGAAGAAGAACCCCTTCCGAAATAAAGACAACAGGCTTAAAAGTCAAGATAAGCCGAGAAACAAACAAAAGCAGATTGATGCCATCCAGACTGAGATTGCAGATTCCAGTGGCTCCCCAGCAACGCCAGTGGTGGATCAGTTGTATTTTTATAGCTTATCGATTAATCAGATGTCAAAGAGCAACACCCAAGCACTCGTCCAAGTACAGGTGAACACATCTCAAGATGCCAAGCCTTTGTGGTGCAAAGTGGATACCGGTGCAGAAGGTAATGTCATTTCTGTAGAAACATATAAGAAGCTGCATCCAACAGTATCATGTAATGCCAAAGGTGTACCCGTGGTGTACCCGTGGTGGAACAGCCTACAGATTGGGTCAACTCATTGGTTTGCGTCACAAAGAGTAATGGCAATCTACGACTGCGTTTGGACCCAAAGGATTTGAATCGTGCAATTAAGCGCCCTCGCCATTTTACTCCGACCTTGGACGATGTTCTCTCTAAGTTGAATGGTGCAACGTGTTTTTCTATTATCGACGCACGCAGTGGTTATCGAAACATTATATTGGACCAACAAAGTTCACTCTACACAACCTTTAACTCGCCCTGTGGAAGATATAGATTTCTTCGCTTGCCAATTGGGTTGGTATGCGCACAAGATATCTTCCAACGAAAGGTCGACGAAACCTTTAGTGGTTTAGCTGGTGTGACCGGAATCGCTGACGACATCATAGTGTATGGTTACAAGAGCGACCATAGTGATCATGATGAGAACCTGCATGCAGTCATGCAGCGTGCCCGTGAAACTGGCCTGAAGTTCAACATAGAGAAATGCCAAATTAGATGCGAATCTATACCTTTCTTTGGTCATGTTGTTGGTGCAGATGGTCTTCGGCCTGACCAGAAGAAAGTTGAGGCTATTCGTTCCATGGATCCGTCAAACAATGTTGCTGACCTTCGAACATTTCTTGGTATGGTGCAATTCCTGAGTCGCTTCGTACCAGATTTGGCGACATTGGCAGCAGACCTATGGGCACTAACGAAGACCACCAGTGAATTTGTTTTGAGTCCTGAGCACGATATCGCGGTGGATAGGATCAAGAAAGCAATCACCTCTCCAAAGTCCCTGCAATACTTCAATAGCTCAGAGCCTGTTACAATTCAAGTGGATGCATCGCAGAGCGGTATTGGAGCCGTCCTCCTCCAGGACAAAGGTCCAGTAGTGTTTGACATGCTTCTAACAAGCATGCTTCTAACAGAGACTGAGACTCGATACTCTAATATTGAACGAGAAATGATTGCTGTTCTTTTTGGTCTCGAGAAGTTTCACTATTATGTATATGGCAGACCTGTTGTTATTCATACCGATCACAACCCCCTGGAGGCTATATTTAAGAAGCATCTTGCTAACGCACCGCCTCGCATTTCACGAATGATGCTTATAATCCAGAAGTATGATGTGCAAATTAAGTATGTACCTGGTAAGGACGTACCAGTAGCTGATGCCCTATCAAGAATAAGTTCTTGTCGTGGTGATACTCTTCCTGGTCTGGATGTGACCGTCCACGAAGTCCTCCTATGTCTCAATGTTAGTCCTACGAGAGTACCCCAGATCCAGGAAAAAACCATGAAGGACACAACCTTGAGCGTTCTGTGCAAGATTATCTCAGAAGGATGGCCAGAGAAAAGATCAGAATGTCCAGCATACCTCCATCCATACTGGAACTATCGGGACGAGTTGACTGTATCAAATGGTCTGATATTGAAAGGCTCACGTATCGTAATTCCAAGGTCTAGAGGTATTGCAAAAACTACATTATGCTAACCAGGGCGCTGAAAAGTGTAAGTTAAGAGCCAAAGGATCAGTCTTCTGGGCAAATATCAATCGAGATATTGAAGAGATGGTCAAGAGTTGTTCACCCTGTCAACACCATCAGAATTTGAACACTAAGGAACCCCTTGTGTCACATGATGTCCCTCCACGACCTTGGCATACCCTGGGCTCAGATATCTTTCATTGGAACAATGCTGATTATCTACTTGTCACAGATTATTATAGCAAATTCCCTGTCATTCGCAAACTACCAAACCTCCAATCATCGACTGTTGTTGCCAATCTCAAAGCTATCTTCGAGGAACATGGTATTCCAAGCAAGATGATTTCCGACAATGACACACAGTATACCTCATCTACCTTTCAAGAATTTAGTCGTACGTATGGTTTTACACACGTTACATCAAGTCCTATGTACCCTCAATCTAATGGTCTTAGTGAAAGAGCAGTACAGACGGTGAAACGATTGTTGCAGAAATGCAAGGAATCTAACCTTGATCCTCACTTAGCTATGCTGTGCTTGCGAAGCACTCCCCTGAGTCACGATCTTCCATCACCTGCAGAACTATTAAACTCCAGAATCTACCAAACTAATCTACCAGCTGTATCAAGTCCATCGTGTTCGGCTAGCGGAGATGTCAATGTGAAGTTACAACATCGACAAGACCAGAAAAAGATTCTGTATGGCAAGCCATCAAAGTCTTTACCCACACTTCCAGTACGCAGTCATGTTCGCTTCTTTGATCCTGGGTCTAACGTCTGGCAGCCTGGTACTATACAAGGTGTAGCGTCTACCCCTCGGTCGTATGTGGTAGAGACAGAAAGAGGTTCATTCCTGCGAAGAAACCGAAAACATCTTCATCCAACTGGTGAAAGTTTTAGCGGTGACAGTGAAATCCAGCTCAGTGATAACATTCCGTTTGAAGTTTGCGCTACAAGTAAGGATTTACAAGCTGATGATGCAAGGAATCAAATGTCAACCAGTGAAGATCCCACAGTTCAAAGTACAGTGAATGCTGTCGCTCCCCCTGAGCTTCGAAGGTCAAGTCGAAGAAACAAAGGCAAAATGCCTGAAAGACTGAACTTGTGAACATTATCTATAGTGTTATTACTAGAACATTGTCATAGTTTACTTTTAGATGAACATTTATTTAGGTAGTCGTAAATGAACAGTCTGAAAAAGAGAAGAAAAAAAAAGTTTTTTTAGAGAAGAGGGGATGTTGTGATTTGCATGTCACGTCACATCCGGTTCCATAGCTATACATGCTTCATGTAATAATGTTCAAGGTTGTTATTGAATATAGTTTTTTGTACTTTTGTTTGTGTGACTTCTTGTCAATTTATCCGCAAAAATATTGAACCCAAACCTACAACACAATGTAAACTAGTCATACATTTCGCCGAACATACTTCGGCCTCTTTGGACATCGTATCGTATCGTAAAAATGTATTTCATGACGCTAGCCTCATCAACATAAGTTGGCTTTCATGAGGGGCGTCGTCAATTTATATATAAAGTATTAATATTTACAAGAGAATAAATAGAAACAAAGAAAAAACTAATTACAAAAGTGCATGCTGGATACAGGAGGTGTATAACATATCTTTTTCGTAATAGTATTATTCGAACCAGAATCCAAAACACTATTTAGAGTGTTATTTTCAAGCTTGTGTCTTCAGATTTTCATCTTTTATTTCGGTATTTACAGAATATCTATATTTTTAGGCGGACCATGAAACGTACATCAAAACAAAGCGCTGTTTAAATCGTAGGGGTCTGGAAAACCGGAAATCGATTTTGTAGGTCAAAGGACTCCCAGTGGCATGGTTTGCACGTGCATCGGTCGGGCTATAAAATATGGCCACAGTATAGGGAGGATGATAGTGCCACTCATAGGATAGCAAAGTGTCCGCAGCTTTCAATTCAGGTCCCAGACCTTTTTGGCGGCCAAAAACTCGGAAGCCAGTAAACAACAAGAAATTATAGTGCAGAATAATTGTGTTTTAGCACAAAATGGCCTATTTTCCTTCACCAAAAGCATTAATTCTTGTCGAAGCGACATAGTATACGAAAAAAATAGGTAAACTAAACGTACATGTATCTGCTCATGGTGATTGTACTGTTGCCAAGGGCTTCAATCAATACTCATGCAGTAGCTTGTAAAAATATTACGAGACTAATGTTAAAGCTGCTTTTCTTACTGCTGCCGATAGTTTTATTCCGAAAACATCGCTCAAGCGTTCCCTCACGCATTCTTAAATCACCAAGGATCTATAGACTTCACGCCATCAACATGAAGGAGTTCCTAAGGAGAAAAGCAAAGGCTAAAAACTCGCCTCAACTATGGGAGAAATTTCGCATGACTCGGCAACACGTGAAATGTTGGATTAATGCCAAGACGAGAGAATACTTATCTGGACTTTCTCAATCCTTATACAATAACTCTAAATCATTTTGGAGATTTTTTTAAGTCTAAATCTTCAAAATCTTCCATACCTGATGTAATTAAGATATGGGGTCTTAAACTATTCTCTTCTGAAGAAAAGGCTGATGCTTTTAATACTTATTTTGCGTCAGTTTTTACCTCCGACTCAAATTTTTCTTTACCTTTAATTTCTCCTTCGCAGTCATCATCAAACTTTCGTGACTCAATAACTGTTTCTGAATCCGAAGTTCAATCTTTGTTATCCAGTTTGTCACTGTCTAAGGCTACTGGGCATGATGGCATACCAGCATATCTTTTAAAGCGCTGTTCCGAAGTCATCGCTCCGTCTTTAACATTTCTCTTCGAGTTATCTCTTCAGCAGGGTGTATTTCCTTCTGAATGGAAATCTGCCAATGTGATTCCAATACCTAAGAAAGGTGACGCTCTATGAAGTCACCAACTACAGACCTGTTTCATTACTCTCTCAAGCCTCAAAAGTAGTTGATTTTTAGACAGGTTTCTTCTTTCATTAAGGACTCTTTGTATGACATTTAACATGGCTTGCTTTCGCTGCAATAGGTCATGTGTTACTCAACTTTTGAATGTGTTTCACGATCTCGGTCGTGCTCTTGATTCTGGCAATGAAATTGATCTTCTTTATCTTGATTTTGCTAAAGCTTCTGACTCCGTATCTCAAAGCAAACTCTTGTTTAAACTAAAATCTTTTGGAATTTCATGTCAACTTCTTAACTGGTTCACTGATTATCTCCATAATCGGAAACAGCGTGTCGTTATCGAAGGAGTTTCTTCATCTTTCCTTAACGTTAAATCCGATGTGCCACAAGGTTGTGTCATAGGTCCACTACTTTTCATTTTGTATGTGAATGATCTTCCAGAGGTAACCAAGAATTGTACTGTTGCACTTTTTGCTGACAACAGTAAATGTTACCATGCAATTCAGTCACCAGCCGATCGAGATCTCCTACAGACTGACCTTTACTCTATGCACAACTGGTCGATCTCTTGGCATTTGAAATTTAATGTATCTAAGACGCTCTTGCTCAGGGTATCTCGGAAACGCAACTCTCCAACTCACTCTTACCACCTTAACAATCAACCTGTTAAGATTGTAGCCAGTCAAGTCGACCTGGGTGTGGTTGTGAGCAATGACCTTAAGTGGTCCCCTCACATTGCCAGCTGTACTGCTAAAGCCAACAGTTTGCTTGGTTTTCTTCGGAGAAATTGTTCTCAAATGACTGACACTCGCTGCCGTCGGCTTCTCTATCTCACACTCGTCCGATCTCACCTATCTTACGCCAGTGAGATCTGGACACCTCAAGTCTCGTCACGCGATCTTGCGGGCCTGGAGGGTGTTCAGAGACGAGCTACTAAATTTATACTTCTAAATTATGAGTTGTCTTATCTTGAGCGTCTTAGGAAGCTTAATTTATTGCCAATACCTTACTGGCTTGAAATAAAGGATCTCATTTTTTTCTCCCAATGCAAACAAGGCCTCCACGACCTAGATATTTCCTCTTTTGTCATCTTTTCTTCTAATCGCTCATCTCGCACCCGTTCAAGCAATGACAAATTGCTTCAAGTCAATCCGTGCAAAACCTCTCTTTTTAGAAACTATTTTTTAACCGAATTGTCTTTCTATGGAACAATCTCTCTCCGATCATTCGTAACAGTTCGTCTGTTTCATCCTTTAAGCTCCAGCTCCATTCTCACTACTCTTCTCAATTAAACTCTTCTTTCCATGTTAATAGAATGCGCACTTGGAAAACCTACTGCTCTAAATTCCGTTCTTTCAACTTAATTAAGCTGTCGCTCATAATCTAAACTATTAATTTTTATATAGCGATGTAAATAGTGTTCTAGTCCTTGTCTTTAATGTATGTCTACTTATTGTATTGTATTGTATTGTATTGTATTGTATTGTATTGTATTGTATCAGGTTGGTCTTCACATGGGACTCATGCCCTGTTGACCATACCTTCTATCATTGTTATAATTTTTGTGTGATTGTAAAGTTAATAATTAAATAAATGTTTAAATGAACATATTTTTCTATAAACATCACAAATATTTATTATAGACATTATATACAGTTGACCAGTTAAATGAGGTTAGATTTATAGTATGTCAGATGAAAAAAAAATAAAATGGCTGATATATATTCAACTGCAGAAACTAATTCTGGCCATAACTTCACAAAGATGATATTCAGTTTTATGATGTTCTTGTTCAATCATTTCAGTTTTATAATGTTCTTGTTAAAACATTTTGGGTTCCAAATCTTCTTAACAGTTAATAATAAACTTTAGCAGGCATGCAAGAACATTATAGATGCATGGATGTTGTCAGGATAACATGTGTTGCCAATATACACTTGCAGAGTTTTGAAAGCCTTTTTATAGAATAATTGATACATGACATCAACATTTCTGCTGTTTATAATTGTTCTATTTAATTTCACTTTAGAAAATGTCATAGTCAGGGTTGATGGAGCACAAATCAACTGTTTATGCCAAGTAAATATATCAAATAGGTCATATATTGAAGATCATTCATCAGTGACAAATGATGACAAGTATCGAAATTAGAAGTATAATTGATGCATATAGTTCTTGAATAGAATGATATAATTCAGGAAAACAGATCCATGCAATAATATTTGGTATAGATTTAGTTTTGTACATTGTGTGCTATAAATAAGATCCCATTCTGACATATATAGTTGTTGTTGATTGTTACGAAATGGCGTAGAACTGGGGATCTTAAAATGTATACTGCAGCTTCATACGACCTGTTCTAGAGTATTTTTGTGCGATCAAATTGAACAAATTCAACGCCGGGCTCTGAAAATTATCTATCCTGATTTATCGTATAAAGATGGTTTAAACGAACTCAATTTGCCCACTCTTGTTGATCGGAGGATTTCCTTGTATAAACGGTTTTACGAGAACAATTTTGGCACTTCAACTAAACTTCTGATCTTTTACCTAGAAAGAAATCTCACTCATATAACTTTAGAAATGCTAGAAACATTCCACTTTTTAAGATACGTACAAGTAGATTTTATGATAGTTTTTTTACCAACCTATGTGCGGAAATGGGATTGCCTTGAACCTTTTGAATTTAATAACTTATTACAATAATGCATAAAATTTCTATATTTGTATTGTACATATATTTTTATATATTCTAATCTAAACTATTCTATTTTAATGTTACGTGTTACTTGAGTTTTTCAGTTTCTTTTTTGTAAACTGCCATTCAAGTTTTAATCAATTCAATAGACAACTTGCATGTTAGACAAATTTTTTATCTAACCGATCTAGGCAAAAAAAAAAGTAAATTCCTGTTAAGAACTTATTAAAATTAGTAAACTTGCAAAATTTGGTTGTGAAATGTTGTGAAGCTTGGAAAATATAGCCTTGCAAAGTTTGCATATTTTCAGTATATTTGTATTACGTGCGGAAATTGTTACCATTTTTGAGCCGAAAATGGTAACAATTTCAACTCGTAATACAAATATACTGAAAATATGCAAACTTTGCAAGGCTATATTTTCCAAGCTTTACAACATTTCGCAGCCAAATTTTGCACTTTTACTAATTTCAGTATGTTCTTTTTAGCTATAGTGTTTGATTCCCTTTTCTATGCTTAGATTAAAATTTAGTCTAACATGCAAGTTGTCCATTCAATATAGTACTGGATAGGGGAAGGGGGATATAAATTGTTTACCTGGTGTTCTTGGCAATGACATTCAGTTGCAGAAATCAAGGTGGATGAAGAAGGGAGCACCCCCTCCAGGATATATAGTTATATACTGCAAGTTGGTAATTGTTACTATAAGTATTGTTATAATATAGTCATCCACCGTATATGAGCTGTTCTGCAATCTGATTGGTTGAATTACTCGCCGTATATCAGCTCATATACGGCGAGTGGCGAAAAACAAGATGGCGGTCCACAAACTACATGAGTTTTCCGAAGCAGAAAAAGGAAAATATTCGCTTTGAGAATAATAATATTACAAGGAAAAACTCTCAAAAAAAATTTGACAGGTTATCAAAATACATTTATTACATAGAAATTAGTTTAAATACAAGTTTTTTCAAGAATTAATACCGAAACAACAGCGAAAAAACACGTTCATTGAGAATATAAATTGTTCAGAAAAGTTTGCAATGAACGACAAATGAATTTGCAGTCAACAAGCACTTACTATAGTACCAAACATCTGTATAATATATCTGAGCTAATTCCTGTGAGATATAGAGGTTCTAAAACCATTTCTTTCATGACTTCGTCTTCGAGTTGTAAAACAAAAGTATTTCAAATTTTCAAGCGGTTTTTGGCCGAAAAAATTGTCAACACATTGTAACAATGAATAATTAATTACTGCTTCAGTTAATGGCTATATTAGACTATATTATAAAACAATTATACCATTCGCGCTCGTCGTATATGGCTGATAGCCGACTCGAGCTCATGGTATAATTGTTAAATATTCCAATCTGAAGCTGAATCTCTGCTCTTTATGCAGCCACTATTGCTTTGGCTTTGCTTTAATAAAAGCAATTAATCAATGCACATACTGCTTTATAAGAAATGTTTCCAATATGTGTGACTTAGCTTGTGACTCTGCTAAATTTGTATAAAAATGATCTATCAAAATCTGGTTGTCTGTAATGAAACCAGACACCAATTGTTTTTTATTATTTATTTATTTTAATTTAAACATATTTATCCACGGTAGCCTTTCAGTTGCCTGTTTTTCAAAGGGCCGTGGTCTAAAACTATTAAAAAGATATAAAACTAAATCTAAACCTAAAGTATAACACGCTAACATTAATTCAAATTGAAGTATAACATGCATAACGACCTTACAATGCAAATAAACATTCGATAAAATTTCGGGAAAATTTCGCTATCTTAGCAATTTTTAATAAGCCTTTTGAACTGATTCAATGAAAGATGCTCATGTTCCTCGAGAATTTCGTTTGGAAGTTTATTCCATGACACTGCTGCGCGGTAGGAAAAACTTTTCTTAAGGAAGTTAGTGTTTGGTTTTGATAAGTGAAGTTTTCGTTCGTTACTTCTCAATGCATAATTGTCGTTCTGGGACATAGTAAACATTTCTGTTAAATATTTTGGTGTCATTTTGTTAATTGCCTTAAATGTCATTGTTTGTTCACGTTGTTCGAGGATATTTGCAATGGGCTCCCAATTCAATCTATTTAAGATCTCTGTTGATCTTATGTCATACCCTGAGTTAGTGATAATACGTGCTGCTCTTTTTTGTAATTTACTTAATTTGTCAATGTGGGTGATATTTCCGTTGTGCCAAACTGTTGAGCAGTAAGTGAAATGTGGTAGGACTAGTGAATTGTACATTGTAATAAGGGCATTTTCTGTCAGAAAACTTTTTGCTCGTCTCAAAAGTGCAATGTTTTTTGAAATTTTTGCACATTGATTATCTATATAGTTATGCCAATTAAGTTGTTCGTCAAGAACCACTCCTAGGAATTTTTTGTTAGAAACTCTCTTTATCATATGATCTCCTATTAATATGTCAGGATCTGAATTTATTTGATTAAGCCTTTGTCTCGAACCAACAATCATATATTCTGTTTTCTCAACACTTAAAGTTAGTTTGTTAGCTATAGCCAATTATGACCACTGTTCAAGTCTGAGTTAATTTTTTGTTGAATGTCAGTTGCTAATTTTCCGTCACAGGATATATTAGTGTCATCTGCAAACATTGATGCTTTTGTAGACCTTAAGCAATTTGGTAAGTCATTGATGTAAAGTAAGAAAAGCAGTGGTCCTAGATTTGAACATTGACAATAGTTATGATCATTGACAAATAAATTATATATTCTATTGGATTCATTCAACTAATTTATATTAATTAAAAATGTTAAATTGAGAAGTACATAAACATCAACACTTACATTTGATATACACCCACAATGGTAACATGTTGAAGAATAATTACTTTCATAGTTTCATATAAATAGTATCTCAATGCCATTAGTCAATAATTTGTTTGTCTAAAATTCCGAATAATTTCGTTTGCACTGCGTATTAAATTATGAAACCCTTCAAATGCCTGCCAAAAATACACTCTCGACCTTTGTCATATTCAGACTAGTAAAACGACGTTGTTTTGACTGCGTTTGATGTGTAATTTTAATTGTAAATTGACAAATTTCCCTTTGTTTCACCCTTCAGCAAACCGCCATTTTGAAATTATTATCATTACGTCATTTCATCTATACGATGTCGCTGATTGGCTAGAAGCACGCTTACAAACTTCAGGTACGCGCACGATTGCAAATATATCTGCATTCGCAGATACAAAAACATATGTGTGATTACATTACTTACATTTGTAGTTGTCAAAAATCTGTCAAAAATGTCATTGTTTTATTAAAGTAACGTACGCAAATGAATTATAAATTTAATGAAATATGAATTTATGTTCTTAAATTAACGGCAACATAGAGAAAGAAAATAATATGTTCATATTGTCTACTGTTCGATGTCCTCATGGCATTAGGAGCCGCGTCTCAGTGCCAAGGAGCTGTTGGCAAACTGGTTGATGATTTCTTCATTTGATATGTCACGACCATCTGTTTCTCCACGTATACGTCAGCAAAAGTGCCTCTAATTTTTCCTGTTTTCAATGTTGCTTCTCAATATAAGTTTAAGCGTCAAGAACCATTTTCGCATTCGACTTGCGTTACTAAGCGGTACTAAATACTGATAAGCTGCATATAGTTCGGAATACGTAGATGAGACCATATTCATAAAGGCGTTTGAATGCGCAGCTGAAACTACGTGACCTGCAAGATTTGTTTCTGCATACAGCTGCACCCTCTCACCAGTCATCGTTGCTTTCACTCACAATGTCTTCCGACTCAGAATTCGGGATTGTTATTCTTCAGGAAGTGTCTTAACCAGCTTTAGAAATGTGTGGTGGAAGTCTACAAGCTGCTCACTTAACTGAATTGGGTCTACATGAGTTCCAATCTCTTCACAAAGACTCTCTAGTGCACTTTGAAGCTGCTCACTTAACTGAATTGGGTCTACATGAGTTCCAATCTCTTCACAAAGACTCTCTAGTGCACTTTGAGGCAGGGGTCCAAACAGGAAAAATCTTGGTAAAGTCCTTCTGGTTCTCAAATCTGCTATTGGTGCTTGTTACAATTTGATCCATTACGACATTGACTACATATACTTAATAGTAAATGCATCACGTTTGAGAGCACTCGGAGAGTGGTATTGTAATTGAAAATATACTGTTGAAGATGGTGGCCGTCAAAATTGTCTCAAACTTTAGCATTTTATCTATTAGAATTTTTGCCTTGTCTCTGTTAGACAGGTTAAAGAGCATACTGCTTGCAATTTCTAACGACGCAACCAAAACATCTACGTATAAGAAATTGTTTACAGCTAGCCTCTCCGTCACTCCGGGTTCTATAATACCGTTTATTATATACACAAGGTCTGGATATGTGGTATTCTGCAATCTGATTGGTTCTCTACTAGCAGGATATTAGCTCATATCCTACTAGTAGAGAAAAACAAAAATGGCGGTTCAAACTGAGTTTCCAATTTTTGCGAACGACAAAACGGCAAGTTGTTCGCTTTTTATAGCTCTTACAGAATTAAAAAACACAATGAAAAACCTCGCACAAATTGTTTACAGGTTAGCAAATGAATTTTTAAAATTTAAAATGGTTAAAAATATATATTTTTGAAGAAATAATCGGCCGAAAGAGCGAAGATAAAAACATAAACAAAATAGAAAAATATTGAAAATATCCGAAAAGCAAAGTCGGTGAATTCAGACCTTGTGTATATAATAAAACAGTTATTCCACTCACTCTCGCTATCAGCTCATATTCGACTCGAGTTCGTAGAATAACTGTTAAAGATATAACATGCAGTGTCGCCCCATTGATTTTTCCAGTATACGACTATATTTTTCATTGCTTTAAATTGCAAATTTGCACACTGACCCGAGAATATCTTCGAGTTAATCAGGCTTCTCTGCAGCTGATTACGCCCGCTTAGCCCGTTTTAGCCACCCCTTGGTGGCTTTTTGCATATATATAAAAGAAAAATACCAGGGAGAAAAGATCGAAGGGGTACTTAGTCGGGCGAAAAAAGTGGTTGGAGCGTGCTTCCTGCTTTTCATGCTTATGTTTTGGAGCTTCTAGGTATTTATTTAAAATAAATAACATTTACGCCAAATTGAAGGGGCCCAAAACGGCCTCTGAAGCAAGGGGCCTACCGGACGTTTTCCCGGTTAGCCCGACCTCCCAGGCTTCCCCTGTTATAACTGATCATTCAGCAAGCCGTATTTTTACGTGGAGTAGTTCTGAACAGGAGTAGTTTAGAACTTTACTGTAGGGATTCAATTACTTGTGGCTATTATGGGTCGGCAAACTTTGACATTAATTTTACACAATTTTATTCGTTGCACCGCGCTAATGGTGCAAAATAAAATCAGTAAACGGACGTATATTGCTTGATTTAGCATTAATTTTACTGCAACTGGTTAAAAATTAAGCAAAGATTGCTTAAACATTCTTAAAAATAGTTATAAATTCAAATTCCTGTGAATAAAGCAGGAATTTCGAAGTTCAGTTCCGGTAAAAAGGGCAACCTGTTGCCCCTGTGCTGCCCCCACACTGTTTGGGCAATGGGGCAGTTGCCCCCGCTGCCCCCGTGGCTCCGGCGCCCCTGCAGTGATCTGGAAATAACGACTTAGAAACGGCTATCTTTTCAACAAATGTTCGTGGAGTCGTAAAACTAAAGGAATACGAGGTATGTTTGAATTTGTGCATCTGTATGGACGTGGAGGTTAATCCTGGACCTGAAATTGTGGGAATTAATTGTGAGTCGAAAGCGAAGATTAGAAGCGCCTGACTTACTGTCACTCAGGAAATTGCCCAAACTTATACCAACTCCACGTTGAAGAAAATCTTAAAGCGTTTGGTTTGTTTAAATATCCTGGGTCTCGCGGTGGCAGGCAGGTTTTGTCTAATAAGAAAATCTATCGAGGGAACAGGTTAAGTGAATCAGCAAGTAAAAATCCTATTCCAGTTATACTGGGTATGGGAACTGGAACAGCTAGACACCTCAGTCAAGATGTCGATCGTCCGAAAATTTAATACCAATTGTGACACAGCCCCCAAATGTAAAAACCACAAACAGGAGTTTTGCTGTACCAATTAAGATCTTATTTACGAACATCTGCAGTCTTAGCCAAACTAAAAATCGTGTTACGGCTACAGTAGCGCTTGAAGAACAGGAGGCCCAAGCTCGATTTGCCCGCGCCCGCCTGTGCCTCCCTTATAACGAGGGAAGGACGGAGACATTGAGACCAAAATAGCCCAGACTTGGTAACTTTTGTCCAAGACCCTTACCTAGGCTATTCCAGACAATACTACAATAATCAAAGTATGGCTGTGCTAAAGAGTTATAGATCATGACAAAAGTTGACTGTGGGAGCAATGGTTTTAGTCTTCGTAGAACTCCAATCACCTTGGAGACTTTGGAGATTATAGTAGAAACATAATGCTCCCATGTCAAACTCTCGTCCAGTATTAAAACCTAAACACTTATAAGATCTAACTCTTTCAATTTTGTTTCCGGAGATAGCAATTTTAGGCTCTTCAGGAATAGTACTTCATTTTTGCTTGGATGCCATAAACATACATTTAGTTTTAATTGCATTCAGACTTAGTTTATTCAGGTTAAGCCAGTTTTGGAGAGTTTTAAGGTCGTCATGTAGAACAGAAATCAACTTGTCAGGGTTGCTGTCCGCAAAAGTCAAGTTGGTATCATCAGCGAATAAACGCCCATCTGATACCAATTCACTATTAGGTAGGTCGTTTATATATATTAAAAACAGTAGTGGACCTAAGATAGACCCCTGACGAACTCCACATGTTACTTTACGAGTATCAGATCGTATGTTGTTAATAACTGTTATTTAAGTACGATCAGAAAAATAGTTTCTAAAAAAATCAATCGATTCTTTGTTGAAGCCGTAACAAGTTAACTTCTGTAGTAAAATGTTATGATCAATGGTATCAAAAGCCTTTTTTAAAGCAATGAATAATTAAGACAGTATTTATTAACTCACTGTCCACTGTTATTGTACCATTTATCAGTGACATCAAGCATAGCTGTTAACGTTGAGTGCATATGCATATGCTTGGTCAAAGACAACTTTTTCAAAAATTCTTGAAACTACTGGAAGGACTGAAATAGGCCTATAATTATTCAAATCTAGTTTTGAATCATGTTTATAAATTGTTGATACCCTGGCACACTTCCAGTCAGCGGGAATAATTCCCTTGCGAATTACTAGATTAATAATGTGAGTAAGTGAAACCACAGTAATGAAATTAACTAGTTTTAATAAACGAACAGGAATGTTATCAAGACCGCTAGCCTTAGAAGTCGATAATTTATAAATTAGTCCATTTATTTGACTAATTTGAGATGTAGTAACTTCATGTAATTCAAAAACTTCATTACATTGTGGAATGTTATAAGAGACCCCGCCAGTTGTTGGAATTTGCGCTGCTAATTTAGGTCCGATTTCAGTGAAGTGCTTATTAAAAACATTGGTAATAGTTACTGAGTCAGTAATTTCGATTTCATCTTGCAAGATTTTTGGTATAGTAGTTGAATTTTTAGATTTAGAGAGAAGACTGTTGATATCATTCCAAGTTTCCTTAGTTCGACCTACGTTGAGTTGAAACAAAGAATTATAATATTGCTTTTTACTATCTCTAATTTTATAGTTAACTAGATTTTTAGCTGTTTTAAAATTGACCCAATCATTTTCATCATTAGTATAAACTGCTTTACTCTTTAATCGATCTCGTTCTCATATTAATTTCTTGATTTCTACAGAGAGCCATGGGGCACAATTTTTCCTTATTCTTCTTTGTTTGACTGGAGCATGCTTATCAGCAACATCAAGAAAGAGTTTTTTCCAAATTTGCCGAGCATTTATACAGTAGGATCGTCTAAGGAAACTTTGTACTGCGAGGGAATAGCATCAATGTCATGCTTGAATGAAGTTTCATCAAAATTTTTATAACTGCGGGATTTGATAGTTATATAGGCTTAGATTTAGCACCAGAGTGTTTTCTGATAGCATAATTAATTAAGTTATGGTCGCTGATACCTAGAACTATAACGCCCGCAGAAGTAATTTTGTTCGGTTCATTAGTAAGAAAGAGATCGATTAACGTGGATGAGCTATTTGCAACTCTAGTTGACTCCTTAATAAGTTGAGTATATTGATATGACCCACTTAGTTCAAGTAAATGTTTAGTATCTTTATCTGCAATAGATGCACTCATGTTACAATTTAAATCACCAATGATATTATTTTCAATACCAAGGAAC